TCTTTACCTTGGAGATAATTGGGGAAGAAACCTAATTATCTCCCAAGGTAGAGACCATCGCCATCTTAAATTACAGTAACAAAAAGACATTAAAATACATAACTACAGAAATACCGAATGCATATGGTTCGTGTAACGTATCCCCAGACAGCCTGGATCTGAGGGCATGTTTTCACCGAATAGCGCTCAGATCCGAGGTATCTAGTCGAATCGCCATGGAGTCAAAGTCTTTCACCAGTCCTTCGGTATACGAATGACTCCATGGGATGGCTGTCGGGGTAAAAGTCCATACGAATGAATAAAACTCCCGAACGACCGACGTTCGCATGCCTTGTCGAAAAGGAAGGTAGGCAGCAGCTTTTCAGCGGTGTTCGGTAGTTTAAGTGTCCGTTTTTAGTTCCATACAGTTTGTACCGAACACCGCTCTGTGTTCGTATGTCCCAAAATGGCCGCTGCCTCGTGGTCGACATGCGAACGACGACCACCCGTACGAATGGAATGGAGAGGTGTCTGCGGTTAACCACAACGTTCTAATTGGGGCCAAGAGGTTAACCAGCAGCACACTCCTCTCCTGGGTGGTCGTTCGTTCGGTAGTTTCAATCGGCATTTTGCAAATACACGAACGGGGGTATATGAACAGGCAATTCCGCGAACAAAGGGAAACAGACGAACCAACAATGCAGATGAATCTGTCACACTGTTTATACCTGTATACCTGTCTCTCAGGCTGTCAGTGTTTCAGTGCTTATGTGTATCTATATTTCACATAAAGGGTTTTTAACTAAATTATCTAAATTCTCCATTTCAATAGACTGATTGGTCTTTGTGTCTGTAATGTATCTGTTTTTTTTTTGTGTATTTGTGTATTTTGTTTATATGTATAGCAGCATGGGGATGATAATATAAGCTTTAGAAGACCGCATGCAAATTTCAAGTTGGTGCAACTCACGGGAGAAATAGCATTTCATATCCTGCATCTTTAAAAGAAATCATACAAAATGTTGGTAACCTCTTAAAGAAAATGTTGGTAGTCCATATTGTGTGAAGTGTAACAAACATTTTTTTTGTCATTTATTGACAATTAAATGATAAATTGGTTGGCATAGCCCCAAAAAAGCAACCACACACTGAGCAGATTTACAGAGCAACCAAGGTCTTACAGATGATTCTCAACACTCCTTACATTTAACTTTGCTTTTATGCAGAACATTTTTAAACAAAAAAAAAAAAAACTATAGAGATTTCTGTCCTCAACAATGTGTGATACTTTTTTTTCTTTAAGTGGCATAAATTGTCTACTACACTTTAGAGATAACAAGGCCTCAGAGAAAGTGTCTATAAGTATAGTATTAGGAAAAATAGAGTAATGCATATTAAGTAAAAAAAAAATGACAATTGAACATATGCTTAAAGAAAACTGACATTAATATCAATTGGTTATTTTGTCTGAACATAACAGCTCTGGGAAGAAGAAAAAATACTAACTTGATATTGTATAATTGTAATAATAGTGAAATTAATAAAGTGTGCCAAGTAGACCAAATTGACTCTTAGAATTCAAAAGTGCCAAACATATATATATATATATATATATATATATATATATAAAAAGTTTCTCTGGTGCAAAACCAAACATGTGCAAAGAGTACATTCAATCAAAATGTGGTGTGTGTATATATATATATATATATATACACCAAAAGAGTGGTGGGGAAAAAAGTGTGGATAAAAACCCCTTCCACCAGAAGTAAGTGGATAGTTAATACATTGCTAAACACAAATACACTCACATAAAAAAAAAAAAGCAAAGCCAGTGAACCACTTTGTTGTTAATGCAATCAGCAGCATGCGGTTGGTTACTGGTTTGCTATGGAGGCTTGGCGTGAAAGTACATACCAAAAGAGTTGTGGTGGGGAAAAAAGTGTGGATGAAAACCCCTTCCCCATGTATAAAATAGAAATATGAGGCAAAAATGTGGTTCTTTGTTGAGTTCATTTGCATATGCATTTGCATAATTGTGGGAGCAGTTACCCAGCCTATAAATACACAGACCTTCCCTTCCTCTGGACTGAGACTGCGTGGTTCAGTACAGATCCATCTACTTCTGGTTCAAAGGTCATCAACACAAACTACCTGAACTACAATCAGGCTGGTTTGGTTTAGTGTGGCCCATGCAAGTATTCATTTTACCTCACTCTAGTAAAAAACAGCTGCCTCCTTCGAAGCTCATGAGGCACTGCCGCGTCTGGCCCAGCCGTGGCTTTTCCTGTTGCTGTTTGCACGTTTATTACAAGAGATGTAGCAGTGTAAGCATGCAGAAGCCAAACACAGAGATATGGACACAGGTATTCAGGAAGTAAGAGGCCTTTATTCACATTACCGATCGGGTCTCAGATGAACTCCTGTTCCAAAAGATCTGAGAGACCAACACATGGTGTACACAGGGCCGGATTAACATAGGGGCTGATGGAGCTGCAGCTCCAGGCCCAGGCCCAGGCCCAGGCCCAGGCCCATTGATTTAAAAAATTATAATTTTTTTTAAATTTCTTTTTTTTTTTACACACTACTCTTAGGGTTGTTCACCTGGACGGTAATTATTTATTTGAGGCTGCCTGGCCGGTGCCGATATTGCAGTAATACCGGCAATACAAATGCCGGTATTTTTCTCAGTTTAAACAGAGATTATTCTGCAATACCATTACCGGCCAGTAGGGGTCACTCTGTGTGTGGAGAGAGGCAGGGATAGGAAGTTACAGCATATACCTGCATTGCTCTACTCACTGATCCGCGGGGGAGCAGCTACACCGCACAAAGAGTCCAGACAGCAGCTCCCAGTCTGCAGAGACAGCTTACAGCTCAGAGAAGTGAGGGATGGGGTAAAGGCTGCAGGGAGACATGGGGACATTAAGACACTAGGGGACACTAGAGACATGGGGACACATGGAGACCTCTGGGGATGCTGAGACACTTGGGGACACTTGGAGACATGGGGACAAAGACACACATGGGGACACTGAGACAAGGATACACACACACACACACACACACACACACACACACACACATGGAGACACTGAAACACTAGGGGATACTGAAACACTTGTGGACACTGAGACACTAGAGGACATAGGGACACAGACACACATGGGGACACTGAGGCATGGGGAAACAGACACACATGGGGACACTGAGACATGCGGACACAGACACTAGGAATACAATGTCCCCAAGTGTCCCAGTGTCCCCATGTCTCCCAGCCAGTGTCCCTGTTGTCTCAGTGTCCCCATGTCTCCCAGCATCCCTAGTTTCTCAGTGTTCCCATGTCTCCCAGTGTCCCTAGTGTCTCAGTGTTCCTAGTCTCCCAGTATCCCTAGTGTCTCAGTGTCCCCATGTCTCCCAGTGTCTGTGTCCCCACGTCTCCCAGTGTCCCCATGTCTCTCAGTCTCCCTGGGAGACATGGGGATACGGAGACATTGTGATGCATAGTCTTAGTGTCCCCATGTTTCACAGTGTCCCCTCGTGACATGGGGACACATACACTAGGGGACACTGGGAGCAATCCATCTATACAACAGAATCAAACTAAGTAGTTTTTTGGTGATTTCACAGAATTTTCTCTGTCACTTCTTGTGATTTACATCATGTGATGTGATGTCACGAAATACATAATTAGTTATACAAATTTGTAAGGCCTGTAATTTTTTTCCAAGAAAGGTGGTAACCCTAACTACTCTGCACATACTCTTGCTTAAGTATGGAAACTTAAGAGGGATGTAGAGGAAAAAAACTTGTGTGGACTAGCTGAAATGAAATTAGTTAAGGTAATGCCGACTTTGGTCTCTCTAACACTGTGCCATGTTCCCTTTCTTCTACACTCACTACATCCACCTTTTCTCTGTCTCAGACTGTATACCAGGAGCTTCTTCCTTCTAGTAAGAAGGTTAGGATAGAAGTGGACCAGTGAGTACTAGGGGACAGTCCTTAGAAAGCATAGAGCTAGCGCATTATTAGATGCATTTATGCCAAGCTCAGGAAGCTGTTGGCCAGCATACATGATTGGCAGGCAGCCTGACATGCATTCATGCTAGACTAGCCTTCCAATTCTTTGGGCAGACACGTCTCCTTTTTGATCATGTTCGGCCCTTTCTGAATGATCCGTGTCACTGGCCCACCCTTTTACACCGCCCATTGACTTACTGCTTCACTGGACACTGCTGTTAGGGAGTATGGATTTACTTGAAAGATGAAAGCATAATTTAGAGAGAGATTAGCATATTTTAAGAGAATCTGAGTTTTTTTTTATAGCTGCATCCTATGAGTTTCCCTCCGGCAACATCTTCACCAGATACATAATGCTTGAGAGGTATGTCTGTTTTAGTGTTTTTGGTCGATAAGATTCTGTACTTTGGCCCCTCATAATTGTCAGCACCAGGCCCACTGGGCTCTTAATCCGGCCCTGATTCTCTCCCTTAAATGGTCTTTCTAAAGATACCATTATTTTCATCAAATCATATCATTTACTATAAATTAAATTATAAAATATGATCAAACTTTGACCCCCAAAATCTGTTATGCATTTACAACCGCCAAAAACACCCATGCTAAATAGTAAATAGTTTCTACATTTTGTCCTGAGTATAGAAATACCCAATGTTAACATGTTCTTAGCTTTTTTTTTTTTTTAAAGTTATATGACTATGAGTACAAGTAGGACATTGCTGTTTTAAAATATATATTTTTAAAGTGAATCAATAGTGACATTGAAATACTGTTATATGTCATAAATCTCTGAATCACACCTCACATGTACATATTTTTTTTTAAAGTAGACAACCCAGGGTATGCAATATGGGGTATGTCCAGTCTTTTTTAGTAGCCACTTAGTCACAAACACAAGCCTAAGTTAGGATTTATATTTAGTGATGTCCCGAACGGTTCGTGACGAACGGTTCGCCACGGACTCATCATTGAGTAAACTTTGACCCTGTACCTCACAGTCAGCAGACACATTCCAGCCAATCAGCAGCAGACCCTCCCTCCCAGACCCTTCCACCTCTTGGACAGCTCACTAAGAATGCAGCTTCAAAATGGATGCTGTCCAGGAGGTGGGAGGGTCTGGGAGGGAGGGTCTGCTGCTGATTGGCTGGAATGTGTCTGCTGACTGTAAGGTACAGGGTCAAAGTTTACTCAATGATGAGTCCGCGGCGAACCGTTCGTGGCGAACCGTTCGCGAACCGTTCGTGGCGAACCGTTCGCGAACCGTTCGGTGAACCGTTCGGGACATCACTATTTATATTTGTTTGTGTGTTAAAAAAATGCAAAAAACAATTATGAACGCTAACTTCAGCCAGTGTTTGTGGCTAAGTGGCTACTAAAAAAACCTGAACATACCCCATTTGCAACACCTTTGGTTGTCTTCTTTTGAAAATGGCATGCTATCATGGGGGTAATTCTCATTCCTGGGCTACCATGCGCTCTCAAAGGCAACATAACCAACTGGAAAATCAAGCCATATATTTGACCCAGTATTTATACCTCTCCTCTCTGGACCTCTCCCCTGCCATCCTGCAACATGTCACTGCTTGCCTTTCTTCCATGTCTGATTGGATGTCCTCCCAATTTTTGAAACTCAATCTCTCTAAAACTGAACTCCTTGTCTTTTCGCCTCCTAATACTGATCCTCCTTTTTCGATCTCCCTTCAAGTGAGTGGGAACCACATCAGTCCATCCTTGCAAGCACACTGTGTTAGCATTATACGTGATTCTGGCCTCACATCCGAGCCTTACACCCTGTCTGTTACCAAATCCTGTAGATTCCACCTTAAAAACAGCCCGCATCCACCCCTTTCTTACACAAGATGCTACTAAAGAGCTTGTCCATGCTCTAGTAATCTCTTGCATGGATTATTGTAATTTTTTCCTAATAGGTCTTCCCACAAGTCGTATTGCCACGCTACAGTCTGTAATGAATGCTGCAGTTGACTGATTTTCCTCTCTTGTCGCTCCTCCACACCTCTCTCCTCTGTCTGTCGTTACATTGGCTTCCTGTATCCTATAGGAGTCAATTCAATGTACTAATCCATACCTATAAAGCACTGACCAAATCTAGCCCCTCCTATATTTCTTCACTGATCCGCAGATATGCACCTTCTCGGTCTCTCCGCTCTGCCCTTCTCCTGTCCGCTGCTCGCACTCGTACAGCCATCTCAAGCTTGCAGGACTTCTCGCGGGTGGCTCTTTTCCTTTGGAATAGCCTGCTTACGACCATCAAGCTCTCCCCTAGTCTTCAATCATTTAAAAAGTGCCTCAAAACCCATCTCTTTAGGAAAGCTTATGGCCTCCAAGAGTAACCTCCACCTCACATACCTGTCCCTTGCTCTCTCCTAAAGGGCAACACTCTATTCTCTCCTCCAGCTCTGCTTCACTCCACCTTGTTTGATTGCTACCTCCTGTCCTGCTGGTTTTTACGCTCCACCTCCTATAGACTGTAAGCTTGTTTGAGCAGGGCCCTCTTCAACCTATTGTTCCTGCAAGTTTTTGTAATTATCTAATTTATTGTTAAATCTCCCCCTTTGATAATATTGTAAAGTGCTACAGAATATGCTGGCGCTATGTAAATACCAGTAATAATAATAATAATAATATTAATTAAAAAATACACTTAGTATGACGTTATATATAAGATATATATATATATATATATATATATATATACACACACACATATATTATATATACATATTATATTATATATTATAAGATATATATATATATATATATATACACACACACATATATATGTGTGTAAATATATATATATATATATATATCATATATACATATATATATTATCATTTTTTTTTTTTTAATTATTAACTTTTTTTCACCAGCAGAGGGACTGCCCGTCAGTTCAGGCAGTCCCCCTGCAGGCAACACTATTGACGCCTATTGCGGCCATGTGACCGCTCTTTCAGAGCGATCACATGGCCCATTCGGTCTTATTTAGCCGAGTGGGGACTTTCTGGGCTCCAAGGTCCTGGGGGGAGGGCTAAGTTATATATTTATTTTTAAAAAAAGATTAATTATTTTTTAATTTAAATTTATTTTACTGAGTGCCTCGACCCCTCGAGGCACTCAGCACACAGGCAGAGATTCTGATGTCTGATGGTTTCCGATGCTCTGCTTCACTGCCGGGCGCTACGAGGAGCAACCTGAAAGTTATCTCTCCGGGGGAGAAAAACCCTGCGGCTCAGCAGTGAGGGGGGTATTGCAGGATTCCTCGACATCGTTCCTTATTTGTTACTTTGTATTCTTCATGCTTCCTAACTCTTATCTTCTTTGTCTACACTAATTAAAGACTTGGGTGAATTAAAATTTACTTCAGCCTAATAAAACAAAATCTTCTATGTCATTACAATTTAGCAAATGTAACACTTGTTACTTGAAAATGTCTCTATCTTCTATTATGTAATTAATTCTGTATTTATAATTTGTGTATTTCTACTCTTCTGGTTTCCATTTCTTCTGCTTATAATATTAAATAAAAAATTATAAGTGGCTAAAAAAGTTAAATTATTTTACCCTAGTGGATGCCAGGTAACAAAATATTAAGGGAATCTTATTTCACATTAACTTGTGTTTTACACTTGGGGCTGGATTCTATTACAAGACAATCTATTACAAAAATTAACTCTGGTAACTGAATAGCAGTTCTCATATTGACATCTATGTGAAAATTGGTATTCAATTATCACAGATTGATTACCTTTTATAATAGAATCTAGCCCTTGGTTATAGGACTACATTATGCAGATGAAAAAAGAAAAAAAAAGAACTAATGTCTTTGTGTTTGGTATCATATTAGTATGAGTAACAATTAAGTTGTCGTTTCTTCCCTAATATAATTATAATGAATTTTGAATTATTTCCACAGTTTCCCTGAAGAAATCTTGGTTGTGAAGCAATTTTGTATCTACAAAGAATAATCACAGGATTATTTAAGGGATGAAAGAAAAAGTGTACATAATGGATGTTAAAAAAACAGCCTTAGGTGTGTGGTTGCATCTTTTTATCGAAATCAGTTTAGAAAGATAAATAACTTTAGTAAAAAGATATTCTTTAGATTCTCATGGCAAAATACTTCATGCTCAAGCAATTGCTGACATCCTTAATCTTAGCAAACATACTCATATGTTTAGTTGTTTGCAGGTGAACAAACTAGTTTCTAACAGATTTCACAAACATTTTAGTAACTTTGTCAGTGGGAGTGAGACATTATTAAAACACTTTGCGGTGTAATTATTATAGTCTATGTTTTTTTTCTATTTTCTATTTTATGTGCTTTTTAAAATTGAATTGCCCCTGGTTAAGCACCGGAAAAGTGAAAAGTTAATAAGCACAAACTTCGAAACTCATTGTGCTGAAAAAGTTAGACACTTTTGGTATGGACTGAAATTTATATTACAGAGTTTCTTAAAGGGAACTTTCACATCCAGTGAACTACCCACATATGATTTGTGCTATGCATTTTCTCCAGAGGTAATATACATTTGTATACTTTGCTAGGAAATAAAAAAAAAAATATATATATATATATATATATATATATATATAATCCAGGAAAACGAGAGCACTCACTGGGTTTATACAAAATGTGTATTAAATTTTAGACAAAATACATCAACGTTTCGACCGTCAAGCGGTCTTTATCAAGACCGCTTGACGGTCGAAACGTTGATGTATTTTGTCTAAAATTTAATACACATTTTGTATAAACCCAGTGAGTGCTCTCATTTTCCTGGATTATATATTTTGCACTGAGAAAGCACCTTGGTCTGAATTTTTGTGCTTGAGATTTTGTTGGGGAAGAGTGCCAGAAGTAGTAAGAGATATATATATATATATATATATATATATATATATATATATATATATATATATATATATATATATATATATATATATATATATATATATATATTTTTTAAAATCATTTTACCATAACCAATAGGTTATTACATGGTTATTTATTACAGTGAGAATTCAAAGTGAATATCAAATTTAGATCCACAGTAGCCAAACTGGAAGCATAGCTGAATTAAACAAGTTTTCCAGTTCAGTTATTTGGACCTTACATTCAAATTCACTTTAAATTAAATGCTCACTTTAGTATGTTAGTTATATGATTGTATGATTAAGTTATATAAAATTGGGGAAGTAACAGTCCCACTTTAAATTCCTAATCATATTTTGCAGGTACAACTTCAGTTGTGTGTTACATTAGATCATTCAGTGTCAACTGCATAAAAAGTTGCAACAATTTTACAACTTGACAAGAAAATCAAAAAAACATTGTATGGATAGGTAATTTAAAAACTTACAGCTTTTTAATATTGGCTACTTTGTTATTTTTTATTGGATAGTATTTTTTTAATAGTAAAAACTGTGATTGAATTTGAAAAATGAATTGCTATGTTTAGGTCTAAATAGGTGATTAGGAAAAACAGTCTCTTATCTTATAGTCATAGCTTGATTAGTTTACAATTGTAGATTATGCTAACGCAGTGTACCTATAATCTTAATTTTAATAATGACAGGAGGCGAGTATTTTGCATAACTTTCTTTACTTTATGCCTCCAGCAGCACAAGTCAATCAATAAACTTTAAACCAATCCGTAACAGGCATCACATCCATATATAAAGCCCTGACAGACACATGACTTCCTCTTTCTTTGATGTGAAAAACAGTCTATTATAATGTCAGGGAATTCAAATAACAGTCCTGAGTAACGCGTAGCACATAACTTGAAACGAAACTTGAAACCTTCCAGCTTTATCTTGTCGAATCCATCTATGATGATTACGCTGAAAAGAACAGAAATACTTATAATATATAAACCTTATAATTTACACTGAGAAAATGACAAACCAGAATATAAAAATTTTCCAGAGTATAGGGAGGGAAACAGGGAGGGAAAATACTCGCCTCCTGTCATTATTAAAATTAATATTATAGGTACACTACGTTAGCATAATCTACAATTTTATCACATGACAGGAGGCTTCATATTTTGCATTTTTAAAGCTGTGGTATGAGCGTGAAGGATGCGTGTGTGGTTGACAAAAATAAATATACGGAAGTAGTCTATCCATGTCCA